CCCCCCAAAACAAAAAAACCCCTGCATCATTAGGCTCAGCACCTGTAGCTCAATGATTAGGGTGCTAGCCACATACCCCAAGGCAGGTGGGTTCAAACCTGGCCCGGGCCTGCTAAACCACAATAACTGCAACAACAAAAAAATAGCTTGGCATTGTGGTGGGCATTTGTAGTCCCAGGTACCTGGGAGGCTTAGGCAAGAGGATTTCATAAGCCCAAGAGTTTGAGGTTGCTGTGAGCTGTGATGCCATGGCATTCCACCAAGGGTGACATAATGAGACTCTGTCTTAAAAAAAACAGAACAAAACAAAACAAAAAATGCGACGTTGTGTTTCCAATATTTACCCATGTTCGAGTTATAGGCAAAACACCTATATGCCTCTGGCCAAAAAAGCCATTTGAGAGAGAGCAGTGAAAAGACTTTGTGCAGGCATACTTGTGAGAAACTGAGGCATAATTCCACGTGGCCAGGTTAATTGCGGGCCTAACATGACCAAGGCTTTGGCTGGAATAGCATTTCCAGACTGCGTTAAGGAATTAAGGTTGACTTTATGAGGCCAAGGAAAAATCCCTTTGGAAAACTGGCCAATTACCCATCAGTAACCTTTCCCGATCTGTGGTAAGTGATGAAGGTCACTTGCTGACAGGTCCAGGAATGGAAATGTGCTTGGGGAACTCAAGAGAAGAGGAATTTACCCAATGCATACAATTATCTAATGGCACAGATGAAACCTGGGCTCATGACAGGCTTTTGAGAAGTCTAGCCTGGGAATTCCTTATAAAAGCCTCCAGCAAACTCCCCCTGACTTAAGGCCTACATGGGAGCAGAGGTTTGCACACAAATTCCTTGTATGCCCAAGAAGTTTCTCTATGCTTTGCTTAAAGATTTGAAGTAACTGCCTCCAAATGGCATGGTCAGTAGATCAGACATTCAAATCGTCTCTTTCCCCGGTAGCCTCAGGTTTCATCAGATAAGAACAAAGAAAGTAATAACTGACAACATGTTCTTTAAGTTATGTTAAACCGGGTTATGTTGAAAGGGTTATGCTTAAAGGTGTATGTTGGATGGATTATCAGATTACTAGAGAAGAGCTACTTACAGGGTGGGTGCTCATAAGATGTTTAAATGGATTAATGAAGTCATTGATGTCCAATGCACATGTGCAGAGGGATTGTAATGACTGTTAATGAGGTCATTGCTGTATAGTGCGCATACACAAGATTCCCTATATAAACCAACAACAAATAAAGAAAGCTCACCATTTTGCCTGAGCGAGCATATGATCACCTTTATTTAAAACACTATTTCAATAAGCGTGCTTATTCTTCGCGACATCGCTTTTCTGTGAGACCCTTACGGCAACACCAGTTGTTTCATTTTTACTGAGGTGTAACAGACATCCTATTGTGCTGTTACATCACATTGCATCTATCTATTCTGTTCAGTTATGTATGGATTTCTTCCTCAGTGTTTAGATACTATTACAATTGCTACTATGAATATATTTTTTTTTTGTTTGTTTTTTGGGACATGACACACTTGTCATTTGCCAGTCACTTACCCAGTGGCTGTGGGAGGGGGTTCCTCTCCT